GTGGCAAGCAATCACAATACTTATCGTTACATGTCTTCAGCCATATAGAGGGCAGTGTCTTGTTGTAGTAGTGGAATATCATCATGACAATTGCAGGTCTACCATAAGGCCAGTTCCTATATTCATAGTGTGCTATGTGCCAAACCAGAGTGTCATTCTCGACGGTATCATTACTACTGAGTTTGTGCCAAAGCATCGATTCTTCCTTGCTCTTGTAATGAGGCGAGTGGAGAACAAAAACCTCTTGCCTGCCCGAGAGGTAAAATACGGTGATAGAGACAAAAGCTGCAGCGATTAAGTAGAGAAAGAGACCGCAATACTTCAAGTTGCATGTGGATATTTGCTGCATTTTTTAATTAGTATTATTCTCGATGGAGGCGGGGGGTTCGCAACGGGAAAAAAATCTCTACGAGATTACAAAAAATTACTAGGATTATCTACCAATTGATTACTGGATTACCTGGAGAATTCCAATATTATGAGTGGATTACCAAAATTATAGATGGATTCTTCGGATTACCAGGGATTACAAGCTGGATTCTTCATCCATTCCGCCAACGGTAGCCCACGTAACTCATCAAATGTAGTTTCTACGCCCCCATTGGTTAGGATATTATTCCCAAAAATGTCCCTATTATTCTGTTCCCTTATTCCTAATATAGATCTACTTGCCTAATATTCCTATTATTATTCCAAAGTATTTTAAAAATAACAAAATAATAAAATTTGTCTCATTCAATGCTCATTATGCTGCAGTAACATCATAAGGAATGCCTTAATTGAGTCTTGTAAAGCACTAGACAAGATTTATTAAGCATTCACCCACACCTACTGCACAATTTTAAAATTTCTGCCCTATTATTCCAGAATTATTCTTCATTCTTTAGACCACCTATTATTCTTTTTTTTATTCTGGGAATAAAATCCTCAGGCCTAGATGTGTATATAGTGCATGCAATTCATTATTATCGTTATTGTATAATTTAATAATTGTTTTTTTACAAATTAGAATATTAATTTTCCCTTCTCTTATCCTCCCCTCCATTCTCTCTCCCTCTCAGGGTTTAAGTGATCCAGAAGAGGCAGTGATATGTGAAGCTATCTCCTCCATGACAGTATTGTATATCAATGGACTCTTTAACTTAAGATTCCTCATATCATCACTACAACAAATAGTACCTTTCATAGCACACCCTGTGAGAAATAATAATAACAATAATAATAATAATAATAATAATAATAATAATAATAATAATAATGATAATAATGATAATAATAATAATAATAATAATAATAATAATGATAATAATGATAATAATAATAATAATAATAATAATAATAATAATAATAATAATAATAATAATAATAATAATAATAATATAAATACATCAATTAATGTACTTGTACGTGTTATAATGTGAACCAAATAATTTAAATGTATAGTTGCATAATATGCTCCTCTCTTTTCTCTACCTCCTTTCTCTCTCCTCTCCTCCCTCCCTCCCTTGAATTACATGTACATAGTGCATGTAATTCAATATTTTGTTATCTTAAAATTAATAATTATTTTTATACAAAATTAGAATATTGTCTCTTCCTCCCCTCCCTCTCTCTCCCTCTCAGGGTTTAAGTGATCCAGAAGAGGCAGTGATATGTGAAGCTATCTCCTCCATGACAGTATTGTGTATCAATTGGACTCTTTAACTTAAGATTCCTCATATCATCACTACAACAAATAGTACCTTTCATAGCACACCCTGTGAGAAATAATAATAACAATGATAATTTCTCTCTCTCTCTCCCCTCCTGTAAATAGAATATATGGGCCAGATATGGTTCAGTTGGTTTCATAATGGCAGCTGCTAGTCAGTTGGATGATATTGATGCTTTGTGTTACATTGCTCCAGTAGTGCAACCATTCCTTAAGTATAACAGCATACTAGAACTGGATAATAAGGTACTGTGATCCATACTGTTACTATACATGTATGTGTGTAATCGTGTTATTAAATGCTATTAGTTGATTCATTATTTGAATGGTAAGTATGTTCATGTACAAGTACATACAATTCAAAAGCATACTCAGTGTACAATTGACTCCATTGGAACATGATCTCTTGTATTAATTGTAGACTACATGCATACATGTATATAAGCACATGCATGTATGACCTAGCTTAAATTATTTACTGTCTGTGTGTGAGAGAGAGATAAAGGTATATCCAATGGTTAGAGGGATAGTCTGAAGTGATCCCATAATTCTCAGAGGTAAGGATCAAAAGAGGCTGGCAGTAGTTTTCTTCTAGTTTAAGGTCATACATGTAAATTGTATGTATATGTATATGTACGTGTAGTCTTCAATTAATATAAGAGGTCATGTTCCAATGGAGTA